GTCTCTATTTCTGGGCGGATGCCGCATTTTTTACCCTAATTGTTTTACTTACAAAATCATAATAGCTTTGATTCCCATGTATTGCTTTATATAGACCAAATTCAAATGTGCCATTTTTACACTTTTATTTTGTTAAATAGTCCTGGTAAGTATATTCTTCTAGATATTTAAAGATTCTTTCACATGTTTCCTGCCATTTGAAAGGTTGGCATATATCTTCATGTAGCACATTTACAACAGATCTGGGTGAGAGAAGTTGGGAGGGTAATGTGTAATATTGAGTAGGGACAAAATAATGTGCATTCATTGTTCCATTAACTTTTTGGAACAATGAAGATCTACAGGTGTCCTATATGAGCTATTGGAGAACAGCAAGCAAAGATCACTTATTTGATGAAAAATTGAAAAATAAGTTTAAACAATTTGAAATCTTTTGACGATATTTCTTTTACTGTTTTGACTGCATTGCATCAATGTTGGACCATTTGGAAACATTTAAGCCACTTATCATAATCCTATTTACAATACTGCTGGTATGTACAATATACTAAAGTCTACACTTACACCAAAACCTAATCTAACAAGACCAATTTTACTACATTATAGAGCCTCAAAATTCTTAGAATAGGCAAACTAAAAAATGATGTGTTGAAACAATAATTTAACTCATTCATCCCTGAAGACACATTTGAACAATCCAATTCAATTGTTGAAATATATAGTTCATTATGAAATTTCAGGGGTGAATAAGTTAAACCTGAATTTAAGTCCCTTTTTCATGAAAGGCATCTAACTAACAGATGCATTGTACCATCCAACAATGTTGAGAGATAAATAGTGGCATGCTGTGATCCTAAGTGTCTTATATTAGCTACTAAGAATTAGACATTTTTCATAAGTGTAATATTGCACACACAAATCTACTCCTGGAGGGTTCGAGCATCACAAGGATGTAGTCTGACAATACCAGATGACTGTATGTGTGGTATTACATTACATACCTATACATGTGTTCTTTATTTACTTATAATATGTTCTGCAAATCTTCAGGATTATCTTGTATTATTATTTAGTTTGCTTCCTGAAAACATGAAACGAACGACAACGGTGAAACAAAATGAGTTGAAGACAGAATAATGATGTCATCTTACTATAGCAAAACACAGCACATAAATATAATAAACCTTTCTTATTTCTATACAACTGATGAGTTTTAGCCAAAAAGGATTTCTGTCCCCTGGGTTAGTATACGCATCTTGTACTGTTGCATTGTGAAATATAAAATCTTGTATTGCAAAGGGCCCAAATGTGTCTGTATCACTTTTGTAAGAGTCACCTGCAGGTAGGTATCAATATACAATCAACGATGTATTACATAATTTGTCTCTGAATCCAGTTCCTTAATCCAGCGACTGGCAATCGCAGTAAGTATGATTCCTTACTACTTGTCTCCAAACCTCTGACAGCCTGCAGCTCAGCATCAGTTACAGGTGCTGACCGATAAATACGATAAATACTGTAACAGTATTCAGACAGCTGACATTAACACCCATCACCCACACAACGTCACGTCAGGCACATATTGTTTGGTGCAGAGCCTGTAAGTATTGTCAGGGTTGCATGTGGTTAGTATGATTGATGCTGTCCATCACTATATTGTCAGCGTGTCTGTACTGATACACAAACTACTGGTGTCCTTTAATCTAGCCAGAAAAACCTACCTCAACCAAAAACATACTCAGCCCGTTAAACAAAAAGCATGATTACTTAAGCATTGAACTGTTTTTGTATGGTATTTATGATCTATTTGAATGACACAGCTTTGCAAGCAAACAACATAATGCGCGCTAAGCTTGCAAAGCTGTGTCATTCAAATAGATCATGAATACCATACAAAAACAGTTCAATACTTATATTTACAATTTCTCTGCCTCTTATGTTCTTTTTTAACTTATAATTTATATTTAAAATTACAAATGCCCGCCTTATCGACAGTCCACACAATTTCGTTCAATAGTTGAAACAGCGTAATTGTCGCGTGCTGATTGGCAAACAAAGTATTACTTTGAAATTTTAACAAACACTTCAATTTTATTTCCACAATTCAGTATCAATACAATTGCATATGATATGTCTATAGGGTGATTTAAGTTTATCAATAGAACTCTGAGCTGAAAGTTAGATTTTAAATTGTTTCGATTTTCCCCCGGAACAAATTTTGCGCCTGGACAAATACAGTGAACTCCGTAAATCCGACCTTGCCTTCCACGAGAGTTATTTTTGGATGTTTATTCGAACTTTTCTCTTTGCTCATTTTGTGAAGAATCCAGGAGTGAATTTATTTGTTGATTATTGAATGGGGTCCTGACAACAGTCGGTAGATTCTATAACAGCCTCGTTATTTGACCTGTCGTCAGAATTAAACTGGATTTCTGTGTGCTGTAACTCATATCAGTAGGTCTGTAACATATGTGTCAGTAGGTCTATAGAATATGTATATTTCAGACATTTGTAACGCACCCCTGTTGACCAGTGCAGTGTAACAGACGATATTTCTGATAAATTACATGAGCGTTAAAATTGTTTCCATTGCCGGCATTGGTGATTTCAACCGATGTGCATTTTGTACGATATTGCAGACCTTGGTCTTGTTTTCGTTGTAATAAAAGTGTTTTTTATTTTATTTTTTATTTTGCACATAAATCTACAATGACATTGTCAAATCTCACAATGCCCAGCGATATTTCAGCAGCCGTCANAACCGTTTTTTGTAGAAATGTATTTCCCCCTAAGTATATGATACCACGAGAACAAACTTTCAGCATGTTCCTAGTCCTGATACCAAGAAACTTAACATTCTTTAATTTAAACATTCCTGTCGAATGCTTAATTTTTTTTTCTCTTTTCCTGCAATGTTTCAAGTGAAGAGGTATCTAATGATGAAGAAATAGTTCACTTTTTAAAGATGGACTTCCAAACCAAATTTGACATTTTCTCAAAGCAAATAACCCTTGTAAATACAAAGCCTCGTATAAAAGTAGTGCAGATTAAGGACCCAGTTTGATAGAATTTATAAAAATTAATTACTGTTAAAAAGTCTGGGGTGCCTGGTCTTAAGAATTATGCGTAATTAGATGTCTCGCCTGTCCCCGCTTTGAGCATAATATTCAATGTGTCAAGCATTGCAAGTTTGAGCCGAAGTTTGGAATTTTACATTTTATAAACAAGTTTGGCAATACATCAACATGGAGGCATAAAAGGCACAAGTGCTAATTGTAATGGGAGCCGGCCATTACAGATGTCGCCCAAACTACCCCCGCATTCGGTAAATAGGAGAACGGAAGTTGCAGTGCCATAATACACGTACATACCAAATATGAGCGAAATCAAAATATATGTGAATCATGCAAGCCAGTATATGATGACCATCTTGTCAGACCAGCGGTTTCGTTCACAGTGCGAAAATACATACCGATTTTAGCGGAATCCAACAATAACTGAATTTCGACCAATCAGAAGGCTATATACAGTGGCTATTTTTGTGAAATAATAAAAGGAATTTCATGGTTGAGTTTGCAGTGCCAAAATACATGTACATACCAAATTTGACTAAAATTGAACAATATTTAATTAAGACCAATCAGAAGCCAGTATAAGGCGGCCATTTTGTCAAATCTGAGTGAGGAAACAGAAGTCGCGGTTAAATGTGTAGTGCCAAGATACATCTATATACCAAACTTGAGCGAAATTTAACAATATCTGAATTTTGATTAATCTGAAGCCAATTTACGGTGACCATCTTGTCAGTTGGCGCTGCCGCCATTTCCGTATGAAAAGTAACACCTAAGTCCCGTCCCGCCTCCTCGACATCTGTCAAAGGCGAGACAAAAAAGGAGGTCAAAAGACCAGGATATTATGTCCCTAAAGGGGTTCAGCATCTTTGGGTGACTCGTTCTTGGAAAAGCGGTAAAACAGTATTTCCTTGTCAATTGAAAAGGGAGTAAAAGGTCTACAACGCCTTGTCCTTAGAACAAGGTGTGAAGAAAAACACAGCACATGAACTTTATTTATGTTTATGCTTCAATGCAAGTTTATCTCAAGTAACTGTATGCTGGAATGACTTATTAGTGCTTAATATTACTTTCAAGGAATTATGGAGGATTGGAAATATGAGATTCGGGTTAAAAAGTGACAGGGGACAGGAAATCTGCAGACATTACATAATGAAATGTATACATGTACAAGTTAATCATTCATTACTACATGATGGGGTAGCTGTTATCTACCTTATGCCAACCACATGGCAATGTCTCACAGCTAACCGACTAACACGCTTTTGTAACCATCGATCACATGACACAACTGATCTAATTTCTTTGACCTATTAGTGGCTAATTACAATCGACCAATGAGATCTACGGCTATTAGGTACAGATAGTTGAACAAACATTATAAAAAAATGTGCAGACAATTTAAATATGATGGCCCGAAACACAGAGAGAAATATCAAAGTGTGATGGACAGATGGACTGACAGAAGCAGTGTACTGATAGAGAAAGATATGATAGACAGGTGGACTGACAGAAGGGGTAAACTGATAGAGAAAGATATGTAGAACAGATGGACTGACAGAAACGGTATACTGATAGAGAAAGATATGATAGACAGGTATACCGGTGGACTGACAGAAGGGGTATACTGATAGAGAAAGATATGATAGACAGACAGACTGACAGAAGGGGTATACTGATAGAGAAACATATGAAAGGCAGATGGACTGACAGAAGGGGTATACTGATAGAGAAACATATGAAAGGCAGATGGACTGACAGAAGGGGTATACTGATAGAGAAAAATATGATAGACAGACAGACTGACAGAAGGGGTATACTGATAGAGAAAGATATGTAGGACAGGTGGACTGACAGAAGGGGTATACTGATAGAGAAAGATATGTAGAACAGATGGACTGACAGAAGCTGTATACTGATAGAGAAAGATATAATGGATAGATGGACTGACAGAAACAGTATACTGATAGAGAAAGAAATAACAGACAGACGGACTGACAGAAGGGTATACTGAAAGAGAAAGATATGATAGACAGATGGACTGACAGAAGGGGTATACTGATAGAGAAAGATATGATAGACAGGTGGACTGACAGAAGGGGTATACTGATAGAGAAAGATATGATAGACAGGTGGACTGACAGAAGGGGTATACTGATAGAGAAAGATATGATAGACAGGTGGACTGACAGAAGGGGTATACTGATAGAGAAAGATATGATAGACAGGTGGACTGACAGAAGGGGTATACTGATAGAGAAAGATATGATAGACAGGTGGACTGACAGAAGGGGTATACTGATAGAGAAAGATATGATAGACAGGTGGACTGACAGAAGGGGTATACTGATAGAGAAAGATATGATAGACAGGTGGACTGACAGAAGGGGTATACTGATAGAGAAAGATATGATAGACAGGTGGACTGACAGAAGGGGTATACTGATAGAGAAAGATATGACAGACAGGTGGACTGACAGAAGGGGTATACTGATAGAGAAAGATATGATAGACAGGTGGACTGACAGAAGGGGTATACTGATAGAGAAAGATATGATAGACAGGTGGACTGACAGAAGGGGTATACTGATAGAGAAAGATATGATAGACAGGTGGACTGACAGAAGGGGTATACTGATAGAGAAAGATATGATAGACAGGTGGACTGACAGAAGGGGTATACTGATAGAGAAAGATATGATAGACAGGTGGACTGACAGAAGGGGTATACTGATAGAGAAAGATATGATAGACAGGTGGACTGACAGAAGGGGTATACTGATAGAGAAAGATATGATAGACAGGTGGACTGACAGAAGGGGTATACTGATAGAGAAAGATATGATAGACAGGTGGACTGACAGAAGGGGTATACTGATAGAGAAAGATATGATAGACAGGTGGACTGACAGAAGGGGTATACTGATAGAGAAAGATATGATAGACAGGTGGACTGACAGAAGGGGTATACTGATAGAGAAAGATATGATAGACAGGTGGACTGACAGAAGGGGTATACTGATAGAGAAAGATATGATAGACAGGTGGACTGACAGAAGGGGTATACTGATAGAGAAAGATATGACAGACAGGTGGACTGACAGAAGGGGTATACTGATAGAGAAAGATATGATAGACAGGTGGACTGACAGAAGGGGTATACTGATAGAGAAAGATATGATAGACAGGTGGACTGACAGAAGGGGTATACTGATAGAGAAAGATATGATAGACAGGTGGACTGACAGAAGGGGTATACTGATAGAGAAAGATATGATAGACAGGTGGACTGACAGAAGGGGTATACTGATAGAGAAAGATATGATAGACAGGTGGACTGACAGAAGGGGTATACTGATAGAGAAAGATATGATAGACAGGTGGACTGACAGAAGGGGTATACTGATAGAGAAAGATATGATAGACAGGTGGACTGACAGAAGGGGTATACTGATAGAGAAAGATATGATAGACAGGTGGACTGACAGAAGGGGTATACTGATAGAGAAAGATATGATAGACAGGTGGACTGACAGAAGGGGTATACTGATAGAGAAAGATATGATAGACAGGTGGACTGACAGAAGGGGTATACTGATAGAGAAAGATATGATAGACAGGTGGACTGACAGAAGGGGTATACTGATAGAGAAAGATATGACAGACAGGTGGACTGACAGAAGGGGTATACTGATAGAGAAAGATATGATAGACAGGTGGACTGACAGAAGGGGTATACTGATAGAGAAAGATATGATAGACAGGTGGACTGACAGAAGGGGTATACTGATAGAGAAAGATATGATAGACAGGTGGACTGACAGAAGGGGTATACTGATAGAGAAAGATATGATAGACAGGTGGACTGACAGAAGGGGTATACTGATAGAGAAAGATATGATAGACAGGTGGACTGACAGAAGGGGTATACTGATAGAGAAAGATATGATAGACAGGTGGACTGACAGAAGGGGTATACTGATAGAGAAAGATATGATAGACAGGTGGACTGACAGAAGGGGTATACTGATAGAGAAAGATATGATAGACAGGTGGACTGACAGAAGGGGTATACTGATAGAGAAAGATATGATAGACAGGTGGACTGACAGAAGGGGTATACTGATAGAGAAAGATATGATAGACAGGTGGACTGACAGAAGGGGTATACTGATAGAGAAAGATATGATAGACAGGTGGACTGACAGAAGGGGTATACTGATAGAGAAAGATATGATAGACAGGTGGACTGACAGAAGGGGTATACTGATAGAGAAAGATATGATAGACAGGTGGACTGACAGAAGGGGTATACTGATAGAGAAAGATATGATAGACAGGTGGACTGACAGAAGGGGTATACTGATAGAGAAAGATATGATAGACAGGTGGACTGACAGAAGGGGTATACTGATAGAGAAAGATATGATAGACAGATGGACTGACAGAAGGGGTATACTGATAGAGAAAGATATGACAGACAGGTGGACTGACAGAAGGGGTATACTGATAGAGAAAGATATGACAGACAGATGGACTGACAGAAGGGGTATACTGATAGAGAAAGATATGACAGACAGGTGGACTGACAGAAGGGGTATACTGATAGAGAAAGATATGACAGACAGGTGGACTGACAGAAGGGGTATACTGATAGAGAAAGATATGACAGACAGGTGGACTGACAGAAGGTGTATACTGATAGAGAAAGATATGATAGACAGACAGACTGACAGAAGGGGTATACTGATAGAGAAAGATATGACAGACAGGTGGACTGACAGAAGGGGTATACTGATAGAGAAAGATATGATAGACAGGTGGACTGACAGAAGGGGTATACTGATAGAGAAAGATATGATAGACAGGCGGACTGACAGAAGCTGTATACTGATAGAGAAAGATATGATAGACAGATGGACTGACAGAAGGGGTATACTGATAGAGAAAGATATGATAGACGGTAAGATAATCACCGAATAGACATTGACGAGGACAGAAAATAACCCAATCTATTGGCCAGACAGACTCAATCACCAATAAACTGAATTTCCATGACATCATTGGATTATTTTATAGATTTAGGTAAAAACAAATGAGGCATCCAAAAAATGACACATTTCACACTAAAGACAGCTGTTAAAATTTGAAAGTATTGTTTCATATTACTTAAGACAACAGTTTCATGGTGAAAGCCTACACTGTCAGTGTCTGGATCACCAAGCATGCTAGGTAACTATCATCCCAATACACCTCAGATGTCGATAGCTGACAGACATCTTTTTGTAAACATATTAAATCCACAAAAAGTAAATAATGGCTTCCATCTATTGTTGTAATACTAGCAAATACTTCAAAATTAGCAACGGGTTTTTTTCTGAACATATTTAATCACAAAACCCTTCTCAACAGATATTCAAAATCTTTTTGCTCAAAGGGGCATATAACTCTATCACAATATATATGCTTTTGAAAGTGACTAGGGGCTAGCTTATTAACCCTTTCACCCCTATGTAACTTTAGTAGACTCTTCCATGCATTGATATGAATCAGTACATTATGGTCTACAGTGGTAAAAGGGTTAAGAACAATTCTTTTAATTAGTGTTGTGTTATTGTTACTCAATGATATTTCTTGACTTCATGAAATGCTGTTTGTTTTCAACATTTTATTTTTGAAGACATGTCAGTGACATTGAAATAAGACCAGGACCGTGCAGTCTATATATATACCTAGGGGATGTAACTCTAGCACTCCTAGAGGTAAAAAGAAAAGATTGTTTTATTCTCTCAAAAGTTATTTTTAGAGAGAAGCAAATACTTTTCCCGTTTACCTCTAGGAGCACTAGAGTTACGTCCCTTAGACAGCATGTTTATTTACAGATATTGAGTCGTCTGTTCCTGGTCTTATTTCAATGTCACTGACAGACATGTCTTCACGAAGATGTCATTATGAAACAGTGACAAATACTTGATTTAAGAAAAGGTACTCAAGTATTCCGATAGATGTATGGGAGAGAACTCTAACCTCATCACAGGCAGGACACCGGGGGCGAATGAGTTCTGCATAGTGTCGTTGGCAGTAGAGCTTTTTACTGTGTAGACAATGGACCAGATCAACCAGTAATTCTTCACACTGGACACAAACAAAACAGGCTGGGTGCCAGCACACGTTCTGGCCCATCTTACTGGCATACACCGCCAGGTCCCCCTCTTCCATCTCACCTTTACACAGGTAACACACCTGTAACAGGTAAATATACAGGTAACATGTCTGTAACAGGTAAACATACAGGTTACATGTCTATAACATGTAGTTAACAGGTAAATATGCAGGTAACATGTCTGAAACAGGTAAATATACAGGCAACATGTCTGTAACATGTTGGTAACAGGTAAATATACAGGTAACATGTCTGTAACAGGTAAATATACAGGTTACATGTCTATAACATGTCGTTAACAGGTAAATATACAGGTAACATGTCTGTAACAGGTAAATATACAGGTTACATGTCTGTAACATGTCGTTAACAGGTAAATATACAGGTAATACATCTGTAACAAATAAATATACAGGTAACATGTCTGTAACAAGTTGGTAACAGGTAAATATACAGGTAACATATCTGTAACAAGTCGGTAACAGGTAAATATACAGGTAACATGTCTGTAACAGGTAAATATACAGGTAACATGTCTGTAACAGGTAAATATACAGGTAACATGTCTGTAACAGGTAAATATACAGGTAACATGTCTGTAACAGGTAAATATACAGGTAACATGTCTGTAACAGGTAAATATACAGGTAACATGTCTGTAACAGGTAAATATACAGGTAACATGTCTGTAACAGGTAAATATACAGGTAACATGTCTGTAACAGGTAAATATACAGGTAACATGTCTGTAACAGGTAAATATACAGGTAACATGTCTGTAACAGGTAAATATACAGGTAACATGTCTGTAACAGGTAAATATACAGGTAACATGTCTGTAACAGGTAAATATACAGGTAACATGTCTGTAACAGGTAAATATACCTGTAACATGTCTGTAACAGGTAAATATACAGGTAACATGTCTGTAACAGGTAAATATACAGGTAACATGTCTGTAACAGGTAAATATACAGGTAACATGTCTGTAACAGGTAAATATACAGGTAACATGTCTGTAACAGGTAAATATACAGGTAACATGTCTGTAACAGGTAAATATACAGGTAACATGTCTGTAACAGGTAAATATACAGGTAACATGTCTGTAACAGGTAAATATACAGGTAACATGTCTGTAACAGGTAAATATACAGGTAACATGTCTGTAACAGGTAAATATACAGGTAACATGTCTGTAACAGGTAAATATACAGGTAACATGTCTGTAACAGGTAAATATACAGGTAACATGTCTGTAACAGGTAAATATACAGGTAACATGTCTGTAACAGGTAAATATACAGGTAACATGTCTGTAACAGGTAAATATACAGGTAACATGTCTGTAACAGGTAAATATACAGGTAACATGTCTGTAACAGGTAAATATACAGGTAACATGTCTGTAACAGGTAAATATACAGGTAACATGTCTGTAACAGGTAAATATACAGGTAACATGTCTGTAACAGGTAAATATACAGGTAACATGTCTGTAACAGGTAAATATACAGGTAACATGTCTGTAACAGGTAAATATACAGGTAACATGTCTGTAACAAGTCTGTAACAGGTAAATATACAGGTAACAAGTCTGTAACAGGTAAATATACAGGTAACATGTCTGTAACAAGTCTGTAACAGGTAAATATACAGGTAACATGTCTGTAACAAGTATGTAACAGGTAAATATACAGGTAACATGTCTGTAACAAGTCTGTAACAGGTAAATATACAGGTAACATGTCTGTAACAAGTATGTAACAGGTAAATATACAGGTAACATGTCTGTAACAAGTATGTAACAGATAAATATACAGGTAACATGTCTGTAACAAGTATGTAACAGGTAAATATACAGGTAACATGTCTGTAACAAGTCTGTAACAGGTAAATATACAGGTAATATGTCTGTAACAGGTAAATATACAGGTAATACATCTGTAATAAGTAAATATACAGGTAACATGTCTGTAACAAGTCGGTAACAGGTAAACATTTGTAATAGGTAAATATACAGGTAACATGTCTGTAACAAGTATGTAGCAGGTAATATAAATATACAGGTAACATGTCTGTAACAAGTCTGTAACAGGTAAATATACGGGTAACATGTCTGTAACAGGTAAATATACAAGTAACATGTCTGTAACAGGTAAATATACAGGTAACGAGTCTGTATGTAACAGTTAAATATATAGGTAACATGTCTGTAACAGATAAATATACGGGTAACATGTCTGTAACAGGTAAATATACAAGTAACATGTCTGTAACAGGTAAATATACAGATAACATGTCTGTAAAAGGTAAATATACAGGTAACATGTCTGCAACAAGTCGGTAACAGGTAAACATTTGTAATTGGTAAATATACAGGTAACATGTCTGTTACAAGTCTGTAACAGGTAAATATACAGGTAACATGTCTGTAACAAGTCTGTAACAGGTAAATATACAGGTAACAAGTCTGTATGTAACAGGTAAATATATAGGTAACATGTCTGTAACAGATAAATATACAGGTAACATGTCTGTAACAAGTCTATAAGAGGTAAATATACAGGTAACGAGTCTGTATGTAACAGTTAAATATATAGGTAACATGTCTGTAACAGATAAATATAAAGGTAACATGTCTGTAACAGATAAATATAAAGGTAACATGTCTGTAACAAGTCTGTAACAGGTATATATACAGATAACATGTCCGTAACAGGTAAATATACAGATAACATGTCTGTAACAGGTAAATATAAGGTAACATGTCTGTAACAGGTAAATATACAGGTAAAATGTCTGTAACAGGTAAATATACAGGTAACAAGTCTGTAACAGGTAAATATACAGGTAACAAGCTTAAGTATGTAACAGGTAAATATACAGATAACATGTCTGTAACAGGTAAATATAAGGTAACAAGTCTGTAACAGGTAAATATACAGGTAACAAGTCTGTAACAGGTATATATACAGATAACATGTCTGTAACAGGTAAATATACACGTAACAAGTATGTAACAGGTAAATATACAGGTAACAAGTACATAACAGGTAAATATACAGGTAACAAGTCTGTAACAGGAAAATATACGGGTAACATGTCTGTAACAGGTAAATATACAGGTAACACTTCTGTAACAGGTAAATATACAGGTAACATGTCTGTAACAGATAAATATACGGGTAACATGTCTGTAACAGGTAAATATACAGATAACATGTCTGTAAAAGGTAAATATACAGGTAACATGTCTGTAAAAGGTAAATATACAGGTAACAAGTCTGTAAAAGGTAAATATACAGGTAACATGTCTGTAAAAGGTAAATATACAGGTAACAAGTCTGTAACAGGTAAATATACAGGTAACATGTCTGTAAAAGGTAAATATACAGGTAACAAGTCTGTAACAGGTAAATATACAGGTAACATGTCTGTAACAGGTATATATACAGGTGACATGTCTGTAAAAGGTAAATGTACAGGTAACATGTCTGTAACAGGTATATATACAGATAACAAGTCTGTAACAGGTAAATATACAGGTAACAAGTCTGTAACAGGTATATATACAGATAACAAGTCTGTAAAAGGTAAATATACAGGTAACATGTCTGTAACAGGTATATATACAGGTGACATGTCTGTAAAAGGTAAATGTACAGGTAACATGTCTGTAACAGGTATATATACAGATAACAAGTCTGTAACAGGTAAATATAAGGTAACATGTCTGTAACAGGTAAATATACAGGTAACAAGTATGTAACAGGTAAATATACAGGTAACATGTCTGTAACAGGTAAATATACAGGTTAAGGTCATAGGAGTGTATTGCTTAACGGAAATAGGAAGTACATGCCTAGTTGAAAATCCAATGTAGGGAGACAGTATCACAATTTCCGTATATTCTAATGTTAAGTATTAAAATAATGAATATTGTATGTTTATTATTGACAGAACAGTGTGTTCTTTCAATATTAAAGAATTTCAAAGCAATCCAGGCATTAATTCAGTTGTTTTTTAATCAATGAGTCACATGTGTCCATTTTTCTGTACTTCAGGAAACCGGCTACCTATTTCACTACTGTGAAGTTTTTCAAGAACGATAACTCTTACATGCAATTACTATGTGTATATGGTTTCATTATAAAATGTCAATTTTTAATCGTTAATAGATAATTGATTTTACACAATTTCAGCATTTATGAAATTGATATACATTAATACAATACTAACCTATGTCAGTATCATTTTTATTGACATTATATTGCAAAACATTGTGTGTTTCAATTTTTTTTTCAAAATTCATTCCTTTTTACATAAATTTCCATTTAAAATCCTTAAAATTCTGACAACCTATATTTTTTTGTGGCAGAAAATTTTCTTTACTTCAATGCAATATAACTACAAAATTTGAAGAAATTCTACTGAGAAATGGCGACACAATACTATTACCTTTAAACAGCTAAACACACAAGTATCACATATCTTTTACATGTAAATACACACAGAGTATGTTCCAAAAATATATCTTCAGTTTTTCCTGCATAGCACAAAAGTCATTCAATAAAAGACTTAAACAGTTATACTTTGTAAGTGGTTTACACATTAGCAGTGCTTCTAGTAAACTTTAAGAGAGAGAAGAAACTGTTACCATTCTGACTGATCTAACAGAATAGTTTGTAACTGCCATTTAAACATGGGTTTAAATTTGTTTTAAAGAGTTTTTGACATTTTCTTAAGTACCCAAATGTTACTCGTGGTATTTCTACTTCAATTTTCGTGTAATAAATCATCTTCAAAAGATTGCAGTGTATGCTGAGTGGATCGAGGGTGTAGTAACAGTGGTAGTGTAGGGGGTGTAGGAAGGTTAGATTGCAGTGTATGCTGAGTGGATCGAGGGTGTAGTAACAGTGGTAGTGTAGGGGGTGTAGGAAGGTAAGATTGCAGTGTATGCTGAGTGGAGGGTGTAGTCACAGTGGTAGTGTAGGGGGTGAAGGAGGGTAAGATTGCAGTGTATGCTGAGTGAAGGGTGTAGTAACAGTGGTAGTGTAGGGGGTGAAGGAAGGTAAGATTGCAGTGTATGCTGAGTGAAGGGTGTAGTCACAGTGGTAGTGTAGGGGGTGAAGGAAGGTAAGATTGCAGTGTATGCTGAGTGAAGGGTGTAGTCACAGTGGTAGTGTAGGGGGTGAAGGAGGGTAAGATTGCAGTGTATGCTGAGTGAAGGGTGTAGTCACAGTGGTAGTGTAGGGGGTGAAGGAAGGTAAGATTGCAGTGTATGCTGAGTGAAGGGTGTAGTCACAGTGGTAGTGTAGGGGGTGAAGGAGGGTAAGATTGCAGTGTATGCTGAGTGAAGGGTGTAGTCACAGTGGTAGTGTAGGGGATGAAGGAAGGTAAGATTGCAGTGTATGCTGAGTGAAGGGTGTAGTCACAGTGGTAGTGTAGGGGGTGAAGGAGGGTAAGATTGCAGTGTATGCTGAGTGAAGGGTGTAGTCACAGTGGTAGTATAGGGGGTGAAGGAGGGTAAGATTGCAGTGTATGCTGAGTGAGGGTGTAATAAAAGTGGTAGTGTAGGGGGTGAAGGAAGATAAGATTGCAGTGTATGCTGAGTGGATGATGTAGTAACAGTGGTAGTGTAGGGAGTGAAGGAAGGTAAGATTGCAGTGTATGCTGAGTGGATGATGTAGTAACAGAGGTAGTGTAGGGGGTGAAGGAAGGTAAAACTGCAGTGTAGCTGAGTGAAGGGAGTAGTAACAGTGGTAGTGTAGGGGGTGAAGGAAGATAAGATTGCAGTGTATGCTGAGTGGAGGGTGTAGTAACAGAGGTAGTGTAGGGGGTTAAGGAAGATAAGATTTCAGTGTATGCTGAGTGGATGGTGTAGTAACAGTGGTAGTGTAGGGGGTGTAGGAAGGTAAGATTGCAGTGTATGCTGAGTGAAGGGTGTAATAACAGTGGTAGTGTAGGGGGTGTAGCTAGGAAGGTAAGATTGAAGTGTATGCTGAGTGAAGGGTGTATTAACAGTGGTAGTGTAGGGGGTGAAGGAAGGTAAGATTGCAGTGTATGCTGAGTGAAGGGTGTAGTAACAGTGGTAGTGTAGAGGGTGAAGGAAGGTAATATTGCAGTGTATGCTGAGTGGAGGGTGTAATAACAGTGGGAGTGTAGGGGGTGTAGCTAGGAAGGTAAGATTGAAGTGTATGCTGAGTGAAGGGTGTAATAAAAGTGGTAGTGTAGGGGGTGTAGGAAGGAAAGATTTTAGTGTATGCTGAGTGGAGGGTGGGATAACAGTGGGAGTGTAGGGGGTGTAGCTAGGAAGGTAAGATTGAAGTGTATGCTGAGTGAAGGGTGGAGTAAAAGTGGTAGTGTAGGGGGTGAAGGAGGGTAAGATTGCAGTGTATGCTGAGTGAAGGTAGTAGTAACAGTGGTAGTGTAGGGGGTGTAGGAAGGTAAGATTGCAGTGTATGCTGAGTGGAGGGTGTAATAACAGTGGTAGTGTAGGGGGTGTAGGAAGGTAAGATTTTAGTGTATGCTGAGTGGAGGGTGTAGTAACAGTGGTAGTGTAGGGGGTGCAGGAAGGTAAGATTGCAGTGTATGCTGAGTGAAGGTAGTAGTAACAGTGGTAGTGTAGGGGGTGAAGGAAGGTAAGATTGCAGTGTATGCTAAGTGGAGGGTGTAGTAACAGTGGTAGTGTAGGGAGTGTAGGAAGGTAAGACTGCAGTGTATTCTGAGTGAAGGGTGTAGTAACAGTGGTAGTGTAGGGGGGGTAGGAAAGTAAGATTGCAGTGTATGCTGAGTGGAGGGTGTAGTAACAGTGGTAGTGTAGGAGGTGAAGGAGGGTAAGATTGCAGTGTATGCTGAGTGGAGGTAGTAGTAACAGTGGTAGTGTAGGGAGTGTAGGAAGGTAAGATTGCAGTGTATTCTGAGTGAAGGGTGTAGTAACAGTGGTAGTGTAGGGGGTGAAGGAAGGTAAGCTTTGTACATATTAGAAGTACATATGGCCTACAGAGTGAACTAGGAAACATAACATAATAATGTTGTAATAAATTTATCAACTCATTCACAAATGAGTTGATACACAAATCATATCAATGAGTTTTATAGAGTTACAGATAAGTAGATAGACTTGTAGATGTCAGATAAATAGATAGACTTATAGATGTCAGATAAATACATAGACTTGTAGATGTCAGATGAATAGATAGACTTGTAGACTACAGATAAATGGATAGACTTGTAGATGTAAGATAAATAGATAGACTTCTAGATGTCAGATAAATAGATAGACTTGTAGATGAAAGTCAAGGTCTTGGTGAAGATGAAAACAGAAATGTTAGCTGAGAAACCTTTGATAAATTGTAAGATTAATTAGCTAACAACTGTTAGTTTGATTGATCGATTAATTTATCAACAGTTAGATTAGTTAATTAAGTTTGACTAAATAATTAAAAGTGTGACCAATTGATAATTTGATTAATTAAATAGCAGTTTGATTGGTGTATTGAGTTAAATTAATCAAGGTTGAGTGACTGATAGTTTGATTCATTTATCGATGGTTTGACTCAATGAGTCTGATTAATTTATTGATGGTTTGACTCAACGAGTCTGGTTAATTTATTGATAGTTTGACTCAATGAGTCTGGTTAATTTATTGATAGTTTGACTCAATGAGTCTGATTAATTTATTGATAGTTTGGCTCAATGAGTCTGATTAATTTATTGAGTTTGATTAATTAAAGTTGAGTGATTGATAGTTTGATTAATATATTGAGTCTGATTGACTATTTAATTGATAATTCAGTTGATGAATATTGATAGCTTGTAATTGGTTGATTAAGTTTGCTTGATTAATTGATATTGTGATTGACTAATTTAATCAATTGATCATGTGATTAATTCATGAATTGACAGTTTGGTTAATCAAGGTTTTGATTAATTAAATGTTTGTTATCTGGACTTAATTTATCAGCTGACAGTTTAATGGATCAATAATTAATATTTGATATTAATCAGATGAAATAATAATGTTACTGTTGTTTAAAGGGGCTGGAATCATTAACAATAAAAGTTAGACTTGAAATCTCATTTATTTCTAAAAATGATAAAATAATGAAATAATGACACATGAATACTTTTACGGAAGCATTTACTACATTTGTGGTCTGTATGATTACCGTTAAGACAGGAGTCTCTTTGACAAGACCTATATCCATGGCGATGTTGTCACGGAGCTCCTGGAAGATCTTATACTCTTTCTTCTCTGTAGCGTTAGCCAGCATGATGTTGTAGGTAACAGCCAAGTCCTGTTTGGGCAGCTGTCGGATAAGCTGGAGGTCCCTGTATCTCTCCCCCGGAGAGCCAATGGCAGGGATCTTGTTGTTAGGGAGCTGGTCCATATAGTCTTGGATCTGTATCAATGGTACCAGTTACATCACTTAATAACACTGAACAACTAAAATGAACAAATCAGAACATCTTCAGTGCTAATGGTTTGATAAGCCATCTTGCAGTGTCAGTCACCATGGTGCCACCATAAATAATATAAATATATATATCAATTTAAGAAAATACAAGAGGCCCAAGAGGGCCTGTATCGCTCACCTGAATATTTAAGCAGTCCATAGCAAAATATTCTCATTAAATATTATATTGCACTAAAACTATTTCCCTCGCAAACTTTGTTGGCTCCATCTGTTGAAACTACCAGCAAAATATTATTATAAGATTCTATGCTTTTTGATTCTTCTTCAGAAGTTGCTTGACATACTTTTCCCTGTGATCTTGTAAGTAGGTCAATGTCATTTTCCTTCTCAAATTGGTTAGCTCTATTCCAAAAAGCTACCAGCCAAATCTTATGA